ATATATATATATATATATATATATATATATATATAGCCAAGTAGCACTTAGCAGCGACACTGTGAAGGAACACTATGGAAAGCGTAAGCATGCATCCATCCTTGTGAACACTGGGACGTAACTCAATCGTGAAGTAAATTATTCTTATTTCTTATTTCAACCATTGCGTATATTAGCTGCGACATATGAATCAAGATGCTATGACCGAAAACCTTTGATTGACAGATGACCATTGATATATGATTGACCAAATTTAGGTGTTCAGACGTATAACTAACTGGCCTAAAAAGTTTTAAATTGAAATTTTCTAACTTTTGGGACAATATTGTCTCATAAAGAGTGCATTTATATACATGTTTAACCCAGAATTATTTGACATTAAATTATGATTTCCCTACGACTTTAGGTATAATTCTATATCAAACTGCCACTGACAAATGCAAAATCTTAAACAACTTATTATGGAAAGTAAAATCCTGATCAGGACGTTATTAAAAGTGTTGGCACACTAACTACCTAGAAACAAAAACAGTTTCAGAAAAGTTACCTTATTTGTAATGCAAACTGAATGAACTGCAACATGAACCAAATTGCCTCTCCCCTCTAACAAAAGGAAGGCTACTGTTGCCAGATAGAGCCAAGGTTTTCAAGCCCAAACATCTGTTAAAACTGCAACAACCTGCCCAATTAATATATTCAACACAACAAAATCTACCAACAAAAGACTACTCCTCTTTTTACATTTAGAAGACAAACTACACGCACACATACCTGAAATAATTACATTTATTGTAGTTGATTTTGAATTCTTACCTTTAATGCCCATTGGATTCTTGGCTGGAACACTGAACATCTGAACGCTGAACTTTTACTGTGGTGAACTATAATACAATCCATTGTGATTTGTGATCAGTACATGGTCGAATGAAATCTCCCAAATAACTGTCAGAGAGGACAGAATTTTGCTGATGTCCATCCATCAAACTCAACAGGATTGGCATGCTCATGCGATTTCTGAAGTCTTTAAGCAGATCTACTTGAGAAAAAGCTCTTTCAACTGGTGCATTTTATATAGCGAGGGTGAGGAGTTTAATTGCACCAAGCGCTAAATCCTGATTGCAGCGATTTCCCTTAGCATCTTTTAAACATTCCTCTCCTAACCAGAACGCGTTGATCCTTAGCGCTAGATGTATCACACCAGATCTACCTGCTGCTAAAACTAGCATAATTCATGGCGCCACTACACTAGTTCTATGTTTTAAACACCCTGGCAGATGAAATTAAATATTGAGTGATGGAGAAAGGACAGGGAGGCTTAGCTATAAACCAGTAATGATGAATAATTGGTGGACATCTGTTTTAATTGGTTAACTCAAAAACCGATGATCTGACTCTAAACCAGCCCAAATTATCTCCACCCACCCAAAGCAATTTCTATCTTCAAAATCAAAATGAAAACAGCCCAACTGGGCAGTAAGCCGCACAATTTGGCAACACTGTCATGCTGTCATGATGCAAAATGACTTCCAAAAGGCCTGCTGTACCTACCTTGTGAAATGATGACGTTTATTTACATTTGATCACAGCATCAAATCAAGAAATTCGTTAACACTGTTCTCGCAAGTAAATTCACAAGTATAACTTTAGGAGATGAAAGTATCATAAATTGACCAGTGCTTTAGTGAAGGCCGCAGAGACAAACATTTTAAAATCAAAATAGAAAGAGAAAATAATTTAGACAAGGGATGAAGCGGCAAATGCTCTTAAGAGGGAGGTGATTGGCCTTAAAAAAGGATTTTCATTAACCATAGACGGACCATTTCATATCCTTCCACCAGCACAGAAACAGACAAGCAGTCCTCTGTTTGCCTTCAGCAGATAGCCTAAAGAGCCTAGCTTTGGCCTGCCGTTGTGTCTCTTCCTTCCCAGGCTCCCTGGCGGGCAACTCTGATGTTAAGCCATTGTATCCAGCATTGCTGGTCGGCTCGTCCCGGTTATGGAGCTCTGTGTTTCCACCTGATTCTCTGCTGCTGCTGACTGAGCTCAGGAAATTTGTCTCCCCTTACCTCTGTTGTCTAGGTGTTTCTTCCATGAAAAACGCAACTACCAGTGCTTAAAATCAGTCATCTTTATAATAACGAGGTGGTTGGTGGTGTGAGTATAGTTTACATAGATAATTTTATAAATCGTATTTTAGTCTTGGTATAATTGTTTATAGGCTAAACTTGTTGCAGTCCCCTTCAAGCATAATGACGGCATCTACTAGTTTGTCAGCTCTGCACTGCCGTAGGGCAAAAGATGTCTGCCTCCACAAATGGGAACCAACTACTATGTATTTATAAATAGCAATTTTTAATGCAAGGCAAACATAAACATAAACAAAATGCTATGCACAACTGTACCTGCTCCAGAAAGGAACGCCTACTGAACGAACGAGAGCATGCGCAAGCTCATTTCTCCTCACGCACATTCTGTTTAAAAGTTGCTGTTCTCATAGCTCATATAAGCTTACTGTGCCCGAACGTCCACCCTAACACCTAAATGCCTCAATCAGTATATAGAACGGGGAATATATAGTGGACTTTATTGTGAACTCAGTTACCTTACCATTCGGACAGATGATCACTTCCCCATTGGTCACGTAACTCCTCCTCCACCGCCTACGCCTACTCTGTTATTAGACGCCGCTGTCGGGTAGCAACAACCTATGACGACAGCGGGCCGCTGTGACAGCAAATCCCATAATGCTTTGTGAGGAGAACTCTCCACACAAATCATTCCAGGATATATCTGAGGCCTTCCTTTTCTTCCCATACACTTAGTAGAAATTTTTTCTTGTACGACCCTCAAACAGAGAAAGGTTAGTTCAATGACTGTCTGAAACCGTAGCTCACCATACATGTATGCCTGAAAATGTGCATACACAATAGAATTAGGTAACGGGACAAGCACGTAAGACGGCCTTACGTAAACATATCAGCAAATTAATAGATGATTTAGATTATCCACCTGGAAATAAAAGATCATCTACACAAGTTCATAAGTGATAATAAATAACATACACATATAATATATTACACGATATATAATTAAATAAAAAAAATTTTATATTTCGAAAATATTGATATATAATTTTATATGTGCAAGATTAATATTTATCTTTAACGATGAGTAAAGCTTTTTCTTTTTTCGCCCTAGGGCGCAAAAATGTTTGCTCATTGACTCAAGTTGTACATGGGCAGTAGCTCCTCTGTTCAAAACAGAAGTAAAGGAGAGCTCTGGGTGAACCAAAGCTACGCCCTGAGGTAATAGAAGCTGTCATCACAGTTGCAGTGCGGGTGATTGACAGGCCGAGTCACGGAAGGGAAGCAAACTTACCACGACAAACTGGAGGTGAAAGTGTTTGGACTTGATCAGCCAAACATCAAAATTGACTTGGCCAACTGCACGACATGAGGCTAACGCTTTATTTTGCTGCCTTGACTGCCTGCCTTGTTTTTCATAGGTCATGATCTGAGCCAGCATGGATAAAGACAGGTAGGACTGATTTAAAGCACTTTTTAGAAAAGGCAAAGAGGCATCAACAATCTGGGATTCTCATGGAAAATAATATAATATAGTCTACTTTTTCTAGATGTTTGTTAATTTGCATAGTTGCTCTTAAATAAACACATTCTCAGAAAGTAAATAGTTTTTACATATTAGAAAAATATAAAGTTGACTAATTGCTTCTCCATTATTAAACTGGTTCATTATTTTTTTAGGTTTGTGACACAATGTTAGACCATGCAAAGCACCTTCTGAAGCTTTGCCTTCACAAAGCCTCAGAAGGGCAAGATTTATGTACAAAATGTAAACCTGTACTTGACATTATGTTTTGTTTTTATAAAGTGTTTTTATAATGATTTTTGTTGTTGGTATTCATATAAATATACTGGTGTGATAACTTAGTATACATTGTTTTTTGGTATACGTCTATTTTGAATTCTCCTATATACCTAATATGCAAGGATGTAAGGCTTAGTAATGTAGGAATGTGAATATGTTGTTTTTGAAAGATGTTTCGCCATATGCATGTATGCTTTGTTGGATAATGTTTATATAGTGGTGTGGATATGTGTTAAGGAATTCAACTATTTCCTTCCATTGCAATGTTTTAGTACCTCAAATGGTGGTTCTTATTGTCTCTAATTGTTTACATTTCTGCATTGAAGGTGCTTGCTTTACTGTGCCACTGAATTGCCTTTTGAAGTCAAATAAAGTTATTTTTTTTGTTGTTGAATGGAATTGAATTTTCAACAGAGCAGCCCTCTAGTACTGTTGATTTATATAATAGATGGTTAAAAAAAATAGTAACAACACTAATATTGTCTTGGTGACTTAGGCAGAGAGATGCTAAACATAACTCATTAAGATCGGTTTACCCCAGCCTATGACATAGTAGAGCTTCATCCTGCGGTCTTCACTGATGTTGACAGAAACCACTTTGCTCCAGAGCAGAAGCCCCTCAACCAGCATCCAGCAGAATGATGCCATAAAGGACAGGTGAAGTAGAGCAGTCACCATGAAACATGCTACCTGTATGAAGAAAAAACATTATACATAAGAAAACTTCATCCTGAAACTTCAGTTGAGTCTATTAAACAGCATGGCACCATTGTTATTTCTTGGTCAGAGCTGTTTTGACAGGAAACCTCATGTGGTCATGATATGATATGTACGAACCTTTATGGATATTAATTTATTTGGGGAGTATTCCAGATTGTACACTTAAAATATCTCACCTGGTTCTCTGTTGCCCAGTCACTACACATCAGCAGCAGCTCAGCGAGGCCCAGAGCAATTATTAGGTTCTTATGAACAGTTGTTCGGTCTGACTTGGGGACTCTAAAAATATACACACACCCAAACATGTAAGCGCTTTATGTGTGAGACACACTGTGCGAGAGAGGCTCTTGCACGTTTATTGAAAAATGTTTTTCTGTACTGATGCACACACATATCCACACAAAATTGAGTTTTTTATTGATGTGAATCTGGCTGGGATTTATGAAATGCTTTTCACCTTTGGTGTTTCCAAAATGCTCTCTGTGATGTTTGTTACTCACCCCACAGCAATGAAGAGGATGAAGGTGAAGAGGAGGCCACACAGAGACACTCCACAGCCAATGAACGTCAGCACCTGCAGAGCTTTTTCATTCTCTGCGCTCCTCTGGCACAGTGCAACACAAAATGCATACGGTGTTTAAATACATACACATCTTGTTTATAAGGGAACCAAACTAAATCCACAGCTCCTGTCAGACAGAGACATGTTACCTGAGTTTCGTAAACCTGCAGCAGCAGGGCAAAATTGGTGGTGTGGTTGCAATAGCACACAGTGTATCCATAATGTTTAGACACAACCTCACAGCCTTTTGTATTCCACCACCCACCAGCCTCTGGCCTGCTCAGACACAAATTATAAAGCACATACAGTACATAGACATGCAAAAGAACAAGATAAAACTGGATTTTGGAAATCATGGAAACATGTAATTCGCTCTTTAAAAAAGAATTCCTACTTACGTGAGGTCAAAATCCCAGTATGCACAAACTGGATCATATACAGCATCAATGGAGTTCTGGTAAAGCATTAATATGTGATAAATACATATTTTGCAAATATGTCAGAAACATTACAAAGAATATATATATATATATATATATATATATATCAGAGGTTTTGGTTACCTGTAGTTTGTGTTGGAGCTGGAAGTGAACTGCCATGCTTACTGGCTGGTCATCTCCCAGAACAGTGGTGGATATAACAGATGAGCCCAGGACTGTGCCCAGATACCTGTGGGGTGCACGAACACTGATGCATTAAATTAAATGTTAAAACAAGTTAAGTCTCTTGTCATTTTCTGTTGCATTTTAAGTCTTTTGCTGATATCTTTCTGCTTTACGTTGAGACTTATTCTCTTGCCATTCTTCCGGCTCTAATTTGTTTCCTTCAAATCACAAGAGACCGGCTTCCCAGACCTTAATGAAGAAAATCACATTTGCTGCATGATATTATCATCTCCATGTTTAACTGTGTGGATGATAATTTCAGGAAGAACAGGGAAAATCGAGTTTTCAATAATTTTTTTTATTACCATTTTTACATTATAAGTCATTATTTATGTTTGAAGAGGAACCCCCCCAACTTTGCATTTCCCCCTATGATACTGCCATCATGTACAAAATATATCACAAAAAAGGTGTTAAAACATTAAAATATATACATTTTGTGATGTGTTTTTGTTGATTTTATTCATACAATAGGTTTTTAAAGTATTTTTTTTATGTTATTTTCCTTCCTCTTTTTCCCATGGTACATAACAAAAAAACGTGAAATAAACAAAAGAAATATATCAAGTTGTATTCTACCATATATATAAAGCTATTTTTCTAAATTAATATGTTCACCATTTGTTTCTTCAAGATTTAGTTTAAGATGGACTGAGAAATTGACAGATGACTAATCAGCCTGATTGGCAATGGAATTTTTCTCTGATTAATGAACACTCATACACTCTACCAGATAACAATTAACAACAGTACTTTTTGCTACTATTACTAAGGGAAAGAAAGGGAAGACTCGTCGTTAGTGAAAACAACATATACGCTGTAAGCATGTAGAACCATGTCTGTAGTTATGGTGGTTGTGAAAAAGTGATGACTAGCAGGAATATAAGAAGTCAAGAACAAAAGATGACTCTAAAGCAGAGGTAGAATTATTCTATATTCTAAAGAAAACTTCAAAAAAAAAAAAGTAAATTAAAATTTATTCAAACTGCTGTTTTACTTATACTAGCTGTACTAACCCCCTGAATGGCAAAGCCTAGATTAGAAAGACAGTTAAAATAAAACATCATTAAGTTAGCATTTCAATAAGAGCATAACCCTTTTTCCAACATTGCTCTCTCAAACACGTGATTTGATGTTGTGTTTACTTTGAGTGTGCTGGGCTGGTTTTATATCCCCTCATGTTTGTAAAGAGAAACCTTAAATGTATAAAAGTGGAGTTTTTTAGAAGGTCAAAAGTTGACAAAAAGGTTACAAATTTGATATTGGCCATGTGCATCACTATCAGGATATTTGTTTGCCTTCCACTACCAGTGCTGTGTTTGGCATTTAAAAGAAACTGATAATTATTATTTAAAGTTTCTTCTCCAACAAAGTTATTAAGGCAACAGCAGCATAATGACAGTTGGTATTTGCTGTTAGAAGTAACTATGGCAATTAATTTGGATGACCTTTCTGTTATTATATTATTATTGAAACTTGAGCTTTTGGTTCAGTTAAAACATTTAACATGTTTATAATACATATTTATTTTGTTAATGAATGAAATAATCAAATAACTGAATCAAGCAAATATCTGGAGAAACTGTATAATTTTAGTTCTTCTGGTGCGACAAGTGACTTACGACACCTATCAACAGCAATATATTTATCTAGATGTTATTATAATATGTTATTATAATCTGTTAGCGGTTTTATTCTGTCTGAGCAATGCACTATGGTCAACGTAGGCCTATGCAATACATCAAGAAGACCTGAGCACCATCTATCTATAATCTATATTGGCTTCTATTGCTTCTTCCGTAATCTCCCCTTCAACAGAAGCAAAAAGTGGTTTTATCCCCCAGCAAATAGTGTGCTTTATATTTTACCACACAAATGTTGTAATTGAGTAATTAGTTGAATTAACCAGTTAATAAAACTACTATTGTTTAATGTTGTTACTTCTACCGCTGTCCCTTTTGAATTTTTAGTGTAGATGAGAAAAACACTTTGCAAACATTTTGCAATCGTTGACTTTTATATTTCAAAATACGTCAGCATGTGGCTTAGATGCCACTTGGCAAATTATAATCATTACAGTATTTTAGATCTGGCTTTTGTTTTCAGTCCAGTTCAAATTACCTCAAGGACTCTATTAGTTTATATTAACTCATGTTAAGATAGGCTTGTGCAGCTGACCACCTGGTTAAACCCACAACCCCCAGTCTCATAAACTTTGGCTTGTTAACAGGTAATCTTTGACCAAGGCAGTTGTTGAGTTCCCCACCTGGATCTTCTGGAATTTCTGACAAAACAAATCAGGCTGGATTGTGTGAAATGTATCAGAGAAGGTAAATAACCAGATTGCCTATTTCATCCAAATGGTATTAAGGTTGTTGATGCAATCATATAAAAACCATATTTTAATCTGGCGGCTCAGTCAGCTAATTCAGGTGGGCCAACATTAGCCAATTTTGGACCTTAATGATGTGAGATTCTATTGTCATTGAGAACAGATTAGCGAGCTTTCTTTGGTACCAGAAGTTGTCCTTAAAATATCTTCTACAACACTGGAACTGTCTCCATGTCAGGCTACAGTTTAAGAGGTGCTACAGAATCCCACAGAGGTGCCATGCACAGGTCTTCAAGACTGTGGGCTTAAAACCATCTAGAGCTGCAGCTTGCAGACAAAGAAAGATGAACAGAGAGGCAAAGGAAAACCCGGATCTCCTGACTGATTGTTATGGAAAGACTTTGGGTGGTGGGGTGGTCTGTTTAGCTAGGAGTAGGAGAGGAGGAGGATGACCTTGTCACTGAACTAACCAATCAGAATTCTCCTCAATCACTCCCTTTCTCCCTCACAAAAGCCTCTTTTTCTTCTTTAGCGGGTTATTCAGGTCAGTCGTGATCTAGGGTTTGCTACATAATAAGCATTAGTTGGGATTTTACTATCCCCCTAGTATTGATTGAAATTTTTATAGTAAGCCCACACCAAGTAATGGCACTGACATCCGCCCCAAAAATTAATCTGAAGTTTTTCAGCTTTCTGTGGCCATCTTCTCATCACAGTTGATGTCTAAACAAAAATACATCTAGTGACTGAGATGGACTGATATGGGGGCTCGAATTGGCAACACACGACAAACCCAAATTCCTACCTCATCCACCGACACCCCCACACAAGCAATACCTTTGCCAAACTCAAACCTTACTCACAATAATTTCTACAGCATAAATACAAATGCATTTTTTGTTTTAATTTTCGGCTGTTAAAAGTTTAAGACAGTAATGGATTTTAATTTACCTCTGGCTGCCATCAGTTACTGTAGGCTCCATAGTGATGTTCTCTTCTGGATTGAAAATAGGCCGCAGAGAGCCATACCATGTGTTGACCAAGGTGATCTTATAGAACCCTGCGTATTTGACCAAAAAAATTTGTTTTCCTTGTGGCAAATTTTTATCGCTTGTACAATAAAATGAAGAGCTACAGTAGATATAAAAGTGAGAGCAAGAAGTTCAATGTTATGTGTTCCTTTGATTTCAATTATAACATTTCATATCGAATAGATAACTCATGAAAAAAAAAAAAAAGAATGAAGGATTATCTTTTGTAAGAATAACCTACCATTGTTCTCTAGATCCTGTATCTTCTGATGTGGAACAGAAATGCAGTCCAGAACAGAGTGTGTCTCTGACCCTGGCCCACAGAAGCTCGCTACCTTAGATCCCTCACCCAGCCTTTGCTGCTGTAGCTCCAGTTCTAGAAAAGCAAAACAAAAAGACGAGAAAAAAACAGTTAGTTTGATTGCAAATATGACATTAAAAGGTTTAAAACAAAATTGAAAAAAACTTTTTTAAATGGTAGATTCTCTACTGAGCAACGTTACTTTTTCATAACAAGAAATATTTTTTTTTAAGTCATGAAGTTCACAACCAGACTGTCTCTAATCATTTTTAGGTTAATACATTTAAATAAAACAAAATTCTGAGCGAGGCTAATTATCTTGCCAGTGGAAATGACAGCAAGGCTTACCACTGTAGACAAATCTGTCCAACATCCAACACTATTGCCTTCATGGGACCTATATCCGACTTTTCCTGCAGTCTAAACAGACCAATCCTGATATTTTTTGCCAACAAAGAATAAAAATATTATTTGCCCTCTTACAGTCATGTTGAGGACTTCTCTACTACATTGCAAGCAGTCACTGAAAGGCAATTGTAAATATTTTTTTCCCTTTTTTTCTTGTCCTTCTCTTATGTTGATATGATGGGATTATATTAATATCTGCTCCAAATAAAACACTGCTGTGTGAGGTCTACATTTTCCTTCTGCTCAAAGGGGTCACTTTANTACAACACTGGAACTGTCTCCATGTCAGGCTACAGTTTAAGAGGTGCTACAGAATCCCACAGAGGTGCCATGCACAGGTCTTCAAGACTGTGGGCCTAAAACCATCTAGAGCTGCAGCTTGCAGACAAAGGGCGATGAACAGAGAGGCAAAGGAAAACTCCTGACTGATTGTTATGGAAAGACTTTGGGTGGTGGGGTGGTCTGTTTAGCTAGGAGTAGGAGAGGAGGAGGATGACCTTGTCACTAAACTAACCAATCAGAATTCTCCTCAATCACTCCCTTTCTCCCTCACAAAAGCCTCTTTTTCTTCTTTAGCGGGTTATTCAGGTCAGTCGTGATCTAGGGTTTGCTACATAATAAGCATTAGTTGGGATTTTACTATCCCCCTAGTATTGATTGAAATTTTTATAGTAAGCCCACACCAAGTAATGGCACTGACATCCGCCCCAAAAATTAATCTGAAGTTTTTCAGCTTTCTGTGGCCATCTTCTCATCACAGTTGATGTCTAAACAAAAATACATCTAGTGACTGAGATGGACTGATATGGGGGCTCGAATTGGCAACACACGACAAACCCAAATTCCTACCTCATCCACCGACACCCCCACACATACAATACCTTTGCCAAACTCAAACCTTACTCACAATAATTTCTACAGCATAAATACAAATGCATTTTTTGTTTTATTTTTCGGCTGTAAATTGATTAAGAAAGTAAAGGATTTTAATTTACCTCTGGCTGCCATCAGTTACTGTAGGCTCCATAGTGATGTTCTCTTCTGGATTGAAAATAGGCCGCAGAGAGCCATACCATGTGTTGACCAAGGTGATCTTATAGAACCCTGCGTATTTGACCAAAAAAATTTGTTTTCCTTGTGGCAAATTTTTATCGCTTGTACAATAAAATGAAGAGCTACAGTAGATATAAAAGTGAGAGCAAGAAGTTCAATGTTATGTGTTCCTTTGATTTCAATTATAACATTTCATATCGAATAGATAACTCATGAAAAAAAAAAAAAAGAATGAAGGATTATCTTTTGTAAGAATAACCTACCATTGTTCTCTAGATCCTGTATCTTCTGATGTGGAACAGAAATGCAGTCCAGAACAGAGTGTGTCTCTGACCCCGGCCCACAGAAGCTCACTACCTTAGATCCCTCACCTAGCCTTTGCTGCTGTAGCTCCAGTTCTGGAAAAGCAAAACAAAAAGATGGAAAAAAAAACCCAGTTAGAGTTTGATTGTAAATATGACATTAAAAGGTTTAAAACAAAATTGAAAAAAACAATATTTTGTATATATGAACAGAATTTAATCATGCTGTAAAGACAACTTTTTAAAATGGTTGTTCCACCTCTTTAGCTTCTCTACTGAGCAATGTTACTTTTTTATAACAAGAAATAGTGCTTTTAAGGCATGAAGTTCAACCAGACTGTCTCTAATCATTTTTTAGGTTAATACATTTAAATAAAACAAAATTCTGAGTGAGGCTTATTATCTTGCCAGTGGAAATGACAGCAAGGCTTACCACTGTAGACAAATCTGTCCAACATCCAACACTATTGCCTTCATGGGACCTATATCCGACTTTTCCTGCAGTCTAAACAGACCAATCCTGATATTTTTTGCCAACAAAGAATAAAAATATTATTTGCCCTCTTACAGTCATGTTGAGGACTTCTCTACTACATTGCAAGCAGTCACTGAAAGGCAATTGTAAATATTTTTTCCCTTTTTTTCTTGTCCTTCTCTTATGTTGATATGATGGGATTATATTAATATCTGCTCCAAATAAAACACTGCTGTGTGAGGTCTACATTTTCCTTCTGCTCAAAGGGGTCACTTTAAGGTCATGAAGAGTTCAGACTGAAGTATGATGGCAGTCTAACAAAATTGTTAGACCATGTAAAACAACTGGTATTTCAGGAAAAGAAAATTGATATTGGGTATTAAGACCTCTTTTGTAAACTTAGGGACATACATGTAACCTCTAAGCGACCTCCAGAGCACCTACATTCTTCCAAGACTCAAATAAGGTTAGATTTAACTTTCTAAAATGTTAAAACGCATTTTAATTTCTAAATACATATTATGGATGTTTGCAAAGCAGGCTTTCCTTTGTGAAGTTTTTTGGAAAACCTAATACCAGGGTAAAAACCTTAAATAGCATTTATCATTAAACAAAAAGCTCTGTTAATAAAAACATAATGGCAATGATCAAAAATTGCTTCAATTATGGTGATAATATATTAAAGATAAGACAGTTATTACTCCCAGATATTATTCTTCTTTAAAAAAGCAAGATAACTGTGTTCAACTCATATTAAAACTAAAACTTGCAGCAATGAAAACAAATAGATATGTTACAACAATTAAAAACATGCATCAGTAAGAAAAGTACATCTCAGAGATGTATACAGAACTGAATCATGTTATTATGATGCAAAACATTTTTCTTAACTGGATTATGAGAATTTTCTGTAAACATTACTGACCAAATCATTGTGACCCTGAAAAGAGAGAGTAAAAATAGTACCATTTGAGGAAACTGCTCTTTCTGGAAACAGCCTCAGCAGGAGCAAGACGTGACTTTATTGAAGACTGCAGTAAGGTTTGCTTAAGCTGTATCTTTGGAAACTAATGATTAGCTTCACAAAGCTATCACTTTCAGGATCTTCATATATGTTAGAATTCCCCATCTGGTCATCACCCAGCTGGCCTGTGGTTCAAGCTCTGCAGGCTTTGATGGAGGACAGCTATAAGGAGCTATCCACAGAAATGTCATATGCACACACTTCAAATGTTCTATGTAATTTATAAATGGCCAAATATCTTTGAAACACAGATGTGCACAGAAGTGTGAAACATTTTATACATTGATAAAAAGTTATGTGTGATATACTGAATAGGTTATTCTACAATAAAAACTGTACTTGGGTTTATACATAGATTTTTCAGCAGGGTGAATACCATGCATTGAGAAGGTGTCAATGATGATCGTTCTTTACCACATTTAGTCATGTTTGAGCTTTATTACAGATGGTATAAATGAATTTATTTTCTTACGATTCTACACATAAGAGCCTGTTATGTGAATGTGACAAAATGTTTTGTGAGATTTGTGTGGCCCACACTGTGACTGTGTGTTGTTGTCAGCACAGTACACCAGTGCATTTGGTAAAATGAATTTTGTTTCTACACATCTACAATAGAATATGTATGTATGTATATAGAGTATACATAAATAAATATGCCTTTGCATTATGATTATTATAAATATTCGATTTTAGTGAAAAACAAAATCGCTGTTTTTCTTTACATTGTGATATATCACAATATCAGAAATATACTTTTGTGCTTTGCAACATCTTCTTTTGATTTATAAACATTAATCCTTATTAATTTATAATGGATTATAGCTTATTATATATATCAAAACGTGTAAAGGGAAAGCCAGTCCATTTGAAATTGATCTGTAACATTCATGCATATATCTGCCAGAGAAGAAGAAAGGGTCATTTTGAGATATGTAGCTTATTTTGTTGCTATTTTAACATCTCCATATATTTGGGCCAAATTATCGCACCAATACCCTTTCTGTTACTTACTGCTTTTGTCACTTTCTACTCAGCAAAGACGATTGAATTGCAAGCTTTAAACATGGTCCCTACCAGGCTAAGTTCATTGGGTCACTTTCCAGAGTACGACTCATATCTTTACCCAAATAACAAAAAATAAGCAAGACCTGTCAAGATAAGTCTTAGGTACAAACTAGGTCAGCTTTATGAAACACCCCTCCATTATATTGCTTATGTTGTTGTAGATAGTTTTGTTAGAAAAAAATCTCCTTTTATGATGTATTCACTGCAAAATTAGTGACATGACATACATGATACTTTCCTATATGTTTTTATGTTAGAAGAAAATGCTACCATTTATGTAATATATTACCTCACCCCTGTGGATATCTTAAATCTTTCGTACAAGATATGTCACTCTTTTTTTCCTTAGGATTTTAATGGTGAATTTAAACTACAAATGTATTGGCTCTTGTTTGATTACATTCAATGAACAGGCCAGCAACTCATTACAAAGCAGACATTATGAACCTTTCACCAACATTAAAGGAGTATTACCAGAATCCAAAACCAAAATCCTGTGTTCATGTTAAAGATTTTATTATTCCTGAAAGAAGGTTGGGCAACTCACTGATATTTGGACTCTGAATGGTCACATGGTCAGTCTCTGCTGTCAAACTTGGGCTCAATTGGGTCACCATCTTGTCTATGCTCTTCACAACATCCATAGGGCCGTTTACCACCTGCAACCCAAAGAGTAACAGTGTGTCAGCATCAGCAGCTCTTACCTTAATCATCGTGGCCACAACTACAGTCTCATCAAAGCTAAAGATACTTTAACATGAACTTTCATTACAGCACAATCAGAAATACTTTCAGTGCCATCGACGATTTGCAACATTCTGCAGATTACTCAGGTAGGGCACAGAAAACTAAACAGCAAGGCCTACAATGCATGCCTTTTTGATTCTGCCATTGTCTTTTTCTAAACACGGCATTCTGATTTCAGTGTGCCCATCTAAAAGCTGAGCCTTGGAGAAAGAGCTAGGAATAGAGCACGGGAGGTTTGTGGATGAGTGGCAGCCTCAGTTTTTCAGAGTACTTCTCATCAATTGAGGATGCGTTGAGGTGGCCTTGGAGCGCTAAGAGGCTTGGGGGTTGCGGGGGATAGAAGGAAGGCAAAGCACTGAAAGAAATACAGCTTTTCACATAAGGTAGTTGTTGAATGGATCTATATTCCACACACCAATGGTGCAGAGATGCAAAAAAAGCCGTACAACTAAAATGAAGCAAAATACCATTTGAAAACTGGGTTAAAATCACATGTGTTGTGAGAATTAGAGTAAAACCAGAATGATTAACCAACATCCTGTAGGAAGATTTTAAGATGATCTACAATGTTGATCATTGCAGCTGATCTAATAGTATTGCTTGTGGTATTCACAGATGCATACTGTCCTCTAGTGTTTGGTACTGAATATAACAAACAGCTGCCACCAATGCAATATCAATGAATTAGGTCATAAATATATTCTTAGGGTGTGCATAGTTTACCCAAATCTCTTCTGTACCAAACAGGTTTCAGATAATTTGATAAAATATATTTTCTGATATATCCTGTTTTCTAAAACTGAGCTTGTGTTAGATATGCTTTTCTTCTACATTTAAAGCTATCAACTTTTGTCTCATTGGACCATCAAGATTATCTTTCATTTTTATCATTTTCATTTTGTAATGGACTGGGAATGAGAAGATTTTTTTGAAATCTTAGGTATGATTTTCTGGTGGAAAATTTTGCTGGACGATATTGCAATAAGGAATAATGTAGTGCTTCTGCAGTGCAATGATTGTGTTAACTTGAAATACAAATTCTACCTCTGTTTTTCCAAATTTTAACTAGCAAGTCTCTGCCCTGCTTCTCAATCTTTAAGTTCTAATGCTACACTTGCTTTGCTAAGGAAATGAAAAAGGTGAGTGGAGACCGATGCACCATAGTGAAACCTTTTGTCATCCAGGCTCTTTAGAGAAGACACAAGTAAAACAAACAAGCATACCAACATAAAATATTGAGCTCATTTAAAATTATCATGCAATTAACTGATTTATTGTTCTACATTACAGGTTTATTAATATCTTTTAGGAGTTTATATTCAACCTGTCATAGCTTTCTTAAAATACAACTGGATGATAAGGGACAATGAAAATCTCTTTAAAGTATTGCAAAAGATTCAAAATAAAAAAGTAAACAGCTGATAAACACTCAATATATGTTTAGCCTTTAACAGAATGGCTGTATTTGTACATTAATTTACACCAAAGGAAACTCTGCTTTATCATACATTTCCTTTAAAGTGGTTGGTGGCACAGAATGCTATTAGGACCATTAAAGTTAAGAGGGTTTCATATTTTCCATCCAACACAATTTTGCTTCCACAAAACTCTGATAACAATTTGTCTTTTCCTTTCATTCAATTATACTTTTTTGGTCTATCAGATATATTTGCTGTAAATGAAATTAAGTATTATATGGTGATGATGATATGAAAATGTGACAAAATGTGAATGTTAAGGTCAAGGTCACATCTTGTAGAGACGAGACATAGAATTTTATTTGGCACTTTTTAGAGGTCCAGGTTAATATTTGTTCTTCTGTCCAAATGGGCCATTTATTTCTGTGTTCAGTAGACTTATGGTTTGATGAACTGTCTGATTCATCATTCTTGGTGAGGATACTGATTTGGAAAGTGAAAAATTAACAACATTGCTGATTGTTTACTTATTTGTTTGAATTTCCCTTTTAGGTTAAGGAACATTTTATTTGGACCGTCCAAATTTTGTTTATCACAAGAGCCATTTTTAAATAAGACTTTTATTGTTTCACACATTTTCCCAAATATTTAAAAAACACCCTCTTCAACTGGAGCATCAGCATTTTAAAAAACAAAGTTAGAGCCTTGGCATGATATGTTAAAGACTTGCCAACAGATAAAGATGGTGTCCACCAGTTCCTCTCAAGGTTATTTTGTCCATTATAAAAAGAGATCCTTGACCTTCAATACTCATTAGAAGGTATCTAACAAAAATAAATGTGACAGACAGGATAAGGTTTGTGGTTTTCTACACTGAGATACAGTTAAAAGTTACAATTATTTTTCAAATTATAAAACCAATTCCCAACACTTCTTCACTAAGATCTTAACAGAGGCAATTTAATCAAATCATCCATTCAGATTGGTGAAAGGTAAGGCAACCCAACTCAGTATATAAAGTCATTGACGTTCCAGGATTTGAACCTCCTGGATGAGCATGCAGCAACAGTACACATCCAGTTATGTTGTGCCTGTAGAGACCTCTTTGACATGGGATTTAGATCAAAGGTCCTGATCAAAAATAACATCCAGATTTTTTACTTTATTATGTGAGATCAATTTAATCCCATCAGAATGAAGTGACTGACTAATTAGCGTCCTTTTCAAAGACTGTGGTCAAAAGACTATAACTTATGTTTTGTTTGCATTTAGGACCATAAAGTTAAGAGTCATCCAGGATTTTATGTCTTTAATACATGCCTGTAGCCTATATAATGGTCATCTGGATATATACATATATATATATATATATATATATATATATATATCCCTGTAGAACCCCACAGCATGAGAAAGATTTATCATTGAAACGAAAAAACAGAAATTGGTCAGATAGAAATGATTTAAACCAGTGTTATTATCTGAGAATATCATGAGAATATCATTAGTGTTTTTTACCAGAGCTGTTTCGGTGCTATGATTAGCACTAAAGCCAGACTGAAACTCTTCAAAAAGTCCATTGTGGTGTAAGTCGTCACACACTTGTTTGGCAATTATTTTCTTAAGAAGTTTAGATAAGAAAGGAAGATTAAATATAAGTCAATAATTGACCGAGTCAACTGGGTCAAAAGATGGTTTCTTAAGTAAAGGTTAAATTACAGTTACCTGAAAAGCCTAAGGTATACATCCCTGTAACAGAGATAGATTAATCACATCTAAAATGTAGGAGGAGATCAAAGGCGATGCTTCCTAAATTACCTGGAACTGGATCTAACGCATAAGTTCAACTAGATCAAAGCAGTCTAAATCCCGACTCAGATTCTATGGCTACCTCAGATGCTGCCTCACCTTCCACAGATAAACCAATCACAGTTAGAGGAGTTCCAATGATATTATTTTTTATAAAATCAATCTGATTTATAAAGAATCCCATAAAGTCATTACTGCTAAGTAAAGTGATTAAATAAATAATAATGTCAATGTTTTCATTAATGCAAAAAACAAACCAAGAAATCTAATCAAAATGTGAATTACAGATACGGTGAAATCACTCAAAAATCACTATTTTTGTAAATGACTTTTTAATGTTTTCTGTGGAAAAGAAGATAATAAAAGTCACCTTCCATGATATGCATGTGTTTATTCAAGGCCAGACTATTGTAGTTCTTACAGGAAGTCCACAAAATGCAGCCTTTAGCTGATACAAAATGCTGCACCTAGGGTTCTGATAAAAATGAAAAACAGAGGTCATGTGTCTCCTACTTTAGTTTACAAAAAGTATTTGAAATCCTACTTCACATTTACAAAGCCCTAAAAGACAATTAAGCTCCATCATATGTGAGAGATCTGATTTTTCCTTATGTTGCTGACAGAGCACCATGCTCCCAAAATACAGATTTAATACTGATTCCTGGAATTTCTAAAAGAAGAGAAGGAGGCAGATCTTTTAGTTGTGAGCCTCCTCTCAGGGGGAAACAACTTCCTGTTTAACTACATTACACAGATACCCTGTCCGCTTTTGGAATAGACTTAAAACCTTTGCTCATCATAAAGCTTATAGTTAGATTGGCTCAAGCTATCCTGAGTTATCTATAGGTTTGCTGCTAAAGGCTTAGACTGCTGGAGAATAAAGGAATCACCTTTCCTTATTTTTTCACATTCTGTTTTCATTCTCCAATTTTGTGGATGTATCTCATATTAAGGGGAGGTATCAGCTGGGCCAATTATACACTGTTTATTTTTCCTGTTTATGTTCTATTCATGGCAGTTGGTTCGGTTTTCACAGCAGATAACTGCACATGCATTTTTCCTCCTTTTGACCCAAAAGAATGTTTAGTTCATCTGCTTAACTTGTTCTTTCCCAAACAAAGCCGGTTAAGGAAGTAGTTTACCATTACCTTTGTTGATATAGAACACTTATGGAATGGTGGGTTCATATCCATGCCTAGGGTCTTACTGCATGGAGTTTGCGCATTCTCCATGTGCATGTGTGGGTCTTTTCCAAGTATTCTAGTTTATCCAACATTCAAGTCCTTTTATCTTATATAGATACATAGATACATAGATTCTTTTAAATAAACTTTATGTACTGTATTTATCTTCAAACTTTCAAACCTTTTTAAACTTTTGGTCTTTTTCGTTTGTTTTTTTTTTGTTTTTTGCAGAGGTTATGATTTTAAAATTAGTGTGAGCTTATGAACATTGTCTTTGAGAAGAAATGCTATTTTTAATAACCTGTACTTAATCTGAATTGTAATATGAATTATCTTTGCTCTATATGAATTGCAGTAAATTTCACAATTTTATTCAGAAAACCACAGTTTTTTTTTGCACACTCACAGATTAGCCTTCATG